AAAGGGGACCACATCAAGTCATCTATCATATAGCAAGTATTTGTGGTTGTGGTATATAAGGTCTCAAAATAACTCAAAATTTCTGCCTCAATATCTTTCTCAGATGTGAGCAATAATCCTTGAGCAGACACTAGATTCCCAATAAAAGCACGGTTCTTCTTAGGTGAGGTCCATGGATGAAAGAAGTGGGAATTTTCATCCCCTTCTTCAAGCCATCTAACTTTCCCTTTTTGCATCCACAAATGCAGCTCATTGATGACCAATTCTGTTACCTGTGCCTTCACGTGTTGCCTTCTATCAATCTCCTCTACTGTTAGGGCCTGCATTTCTTCTTTCTTATCAATATCACTAATAATTCTGATCAAATCTGCCTTCTGAACACCGATAAGGCCATAGACTTGCTTATTCCACTTAATAAGAAGACCCTTTAGACCTCTTAGTTTCTCCATAAAACCGTAACCAGGCCATCCCCTGAGAGTGTTGTCTTTCCACCATTTATCTACCCTAGGAAGAAGCTGCGGGGAATCGAGCCATACATTCTCAAAACGAAAGGGGGTAGGACCCCACATTTAATAGCCTCAGAAGCCATCTGAATGGGGAAGTGGTCCGAAGTTGTGCGGAACAGCTTAGAAACTCTTTGATTAGCAAAAACATCAAGCCAATCTTTAAAGACAAGGGATCTATCTAACCTTGAAAGGGTCGGGGTGCCTCTCATATTTGACCAAGTGAACGAGCCGTTGTCCAAAGGAGGATCTAATAAGTTCATTGCTTCAATAAGAGCATTAAACTCTTTCATACTACGAGTGATTCGCCCTTGTTTCTTGCTCTACTTTTCTGAGAGCCATCTAGCCACGTTGAAGTCACCTCCTATACACCAAGAACCATGGCATTTGCTGACTAAGCCCTCTAATTCCCTCCAAAAATCAACTCTGCCTCTAGATGATGAAGAGGGACCATAAACCCCAGTAAACCAGCCGTTCCTGCCATTAGTAAGACTAATGTGTAAAGTAATGGAGAAAGTGCCCAAAAAGAGTTAGAGATATTGATCTTTTGTTCATTCCATAAAATTAGAATACCCCCTGCTGTGTTTTGAGCATCTAAAGAAATCCAGCCGACATGCGATGACCACTGAGTAAAAGAAGTTGTCCTCTATCCTCCAACGGTCCATTGGACTGAGACCTATGTTTCCCGCCGGTCCTCCATGGAAACGTGCTACAGCTTTCGGCGAAAAGCTGTCGTGAACCTTGGCTTCTTTTTTGATCAGTAATTTCACATCCTCGAAGGTTGATATGTGCGCTAAAAAGGAGGTTTCTTCATCTTGAATCTTGATTCTGTCGTGAACCCTGATTGCTACATCCATACATTCAATTCTCGCCGCGTTTTCATCTGCATACTCAATAAACCCTCCAAAAATATCTCCTATCTTACGGAAGAGATCCTCACTCCATAGATGTAGAGGAATGTTCCTTAGTTTCAGCCAACCACCATAGAAAGGGACCATTGTACTAAATCCGTGTCTATCCTTGTTCCATCTCTCCACTTTAAGATTCAATGCCCTGAATGTAACCCATCCTCTATTCATCCAGAGGAGCCTAGCTAGCTCTTCGTTCGGGCATTTAAGAATGGCCTTATCCGGTTGGAAGGCATTAAGGATTAACTTTCTCTGGAGTTGACTTTCGAGCGTAGTGAGTATGAGCCCCCAATCGTCGTGGAAATCTCTTCTGGTTATAACTAGGACTTGGTTCCAGTCAACGAACCTAACTTCTTTAGTCAGTGGGTGCACTTCTATTTTCTTCCTTTGAGTCGGAGATGGGCACAAGAGAGCTGAAGCATATGATTTATCCGATGATGGCCTATGAAGGAGCTTTGCAAGGCTCGTTGATTCGAACCCATTCAGGAAATCTAGCAGAAGTTGCTTAAAGGATATTCAACCTTTGAAATCTTCCCCTGCCGGGACAACTAAGTTTGTCTTTCCTCCTGAGTTTTGTACCTTGGTTATCTCAATGAAGCTCCCTCGTTTGTTTGTGGTTTTTAGGATCCAAACAATACCATTTGCACAGTGGGTCTTCCAAAAAAAGTTCTGGTTTTGAGGTGAGAGAAGAAGGTCTGAGACAGCATCTGTTAACCAAACTACAATCACTTCTTCAAAGGAAACTGTAAATCTTCTTTGTAGGTGAAGTTCTTCAATCTGGACCACTCTTCCTTTATATTTCTGATCGAAGGAACAAGAAAAGTATTTGTTTTCTATCCTAGAGGATAATCTCCGTGGAGCCATGTCGGAGATTAATGGTGACCGGAGGGAAGATCACCGTAGGCATCGTTCAGGGGGTGGAGGAGAGGGAGGAGAGAGAACGGAGAGATAGAGAGCCATCTTTTTCCACATACGTCTTGGGAAAATACTTTTTATGAATGAAATTTTAGATTGAGTTTAGTCTCTCTCAAGCTTTATGCTTTCTTTGTATTCTTATGTTAGAATGCATGTTTTAGAACTTTCAATATAGTTTGATCAATTAGGTTGTGGAGAGTTTGAAATCTTGAATATAGGAACAAGTTCTCATTTATTCTTGATCTTTGATCATATCTTTCTAAGCATAAATCTGTTTAGCTTTCTTGGGGTTGGTTCATCTTCTTGTTATTGGGATTATTCTTATTGTTGTTGTAGGAGTTCACCTTGAATAGGGGAATTCTCAAGCATAATTAAGGTAATTCCTTTATCACTTCTGATTGAAACAATGGAAATGAAATATAATGTTCAGATAATACAAACTCCCGAAAGGTGAGAAAGAAAGCAACCCAAATACAAAACAGAACAACCAGAAGATGTGTAAAACATCAGAAGATGCAAAATAATAACGATCTAAAGAACAAAAACCTAAGGAACTTGTCAAAGAGACATGTCAAAATAATCTGAACCAATCCTTTCCATCAGAGGAGAAGACTGCAAAAACATCAACAGAGAACAAACTAAGGATGGCCCAAAACCTCAACCAATTAGCAAAGAACATCTTGCTTCAAGAGACCATCTTCAAAATTTATAACTTCTGGCTCATCATCAAGACCCAGGGCTCTCTATTTTGCAAAAATATCAGCTAACTCCTTCCGCTCGGATTGCAACTCCAACTTTCTTATAGCTCGATCTTCTTCCCAAGAAACCAAATCTTTTGCAGCCTTTCAAACTCCAAAATTATAGAATCAAACCATCTTTCTAAGACAAGATAAGAATTGGAAGAGTCTCCAATAGAAAATTCAGAGGAAGGGGAATGAGATGACATTTGAATTGATAAGAACTCTTGAGTAAAAACTCACAACCTAACTGAACCTTCAAAAGAAGAGCCAAAACAGAAAAAACACTTCAAAATTCAACAAAACCGCCAAGCAGAAACTGAAGAGCCAGACCCACACTGCCTTTTCTTTTTGAAACTACCAACGACAATAAAAATCTGCTGCCTTTTCCTTCTTGAAAAACTGAAGAAAATCCTTCACGACAAAAATAATATCACTAAAAAACAAGAGACCTTTAAACTTCAAAAGACACTTCTAATGTTGAAACCAAAAGGAATTCCAAACATCCCAGCTGTTTCCTTTTTTCTTTTTTTTTTTGGATATGTCCTTCAAATTCAAAAAGACCCCTGCTGCCTTTTCCATCTTGATGCCTTTTCAATATTCCAATAACTCTCAGCTGAAAAAATAAATGCTCATGGAAGAACCACCTCGGGGCACTGCTTTTGAAGGAATTTCTTCAAAAAAATATCTTCCCGCTCACTCCCATTCCACATGAATTCCATGAAATGATCTTCATGGTTGTATGACTTTTGGATTTTGTTGGTCTTTTGGAATAATCTCATGAACTACTAATCCACTCTTGGATGAAAGGACGAGAAATTTGAATTTTCAAGACAATGACTAGGAGATGGAGAGCCCTCACTCTTGCTATTTACCTGGTTGGTAATGAAGAGGTCACGAAATTATTCTTATCATCAAGAATAAGCCTTTCTTCTTGGGATAATGAGCTTAGGACTTCTTCACATGCATCTTCATTTAATGGTTCATCGGTAACTTTAACTTTTGGAGAAAAGAGCTCAGATTCTAACTACTGATGCTTATTTCAGATTCAAAATCTGAATCAAATTCTTCATCTTGGTAGGATTGCCTATTGATGATACAATTTCTTGAGTTAACTCTCCCAAAAGATAAGCTTTTCTCCTTATCTAAAGTCAAATCTGCACTCAGATCTTCATTCAAAACTATTGTTGGATGGAGCTTCTTCCCTAATAAACCTAAAAAATGCATTTTGTCTTGAAAAATGTAATGCATTTGTTTTTCTCAATTTTCCTATTCTTTTTTTAAGGAATGGGGACACGGACATGGAGAACGAGAAACGTTTGAGGAGGTTTTAGGAGAGTGATAGAATTAAGTGGGAAAATTGTAGTTTATTGAGTTCTTGGAGGTAATACACAGTTTCTAGAGGGTTTTATGTGTATTCTCATTTTCTTGGCTTCTCTATACAGTGAAGTCTTTAGGAGTAAGAGAAAACAAGGGAACGTATCTAAATTTTAGAATCACTTCTTCTCTTCTCTACTACTTCTACTGTTTTTTATAGTTCTTGAGATAAATTCCTTTAAGCTTCCGAACATTACTTGAATAATAATTGTTGTAACTGTGGCATAACTGATTAATTTAAGCCAACAGGAACTTTCTCTAGTTACCATCCCTCATATGCTTGATAGTTGATGCTTTTTGTACTTTCACAAAATGTTTCAAATAACAAATTATAACCAATTTCACTATACTAGCTTCCATTTTATTTAGACTGCAGCATTCCTACTTCAGTTTGAAAACGGTTAAAGCACAATTATGTGCTCTTGGTTCAGAGAAAAAAAAGACCGATAATTAAAAGAACCTCAAATGAAGAGTTAATATTTGGGAACTTAAATAGAGAGAAACTAATAATTAGCACAATGATTTCCTAAATCAAAAGCCCACAAGTGTAAGGAGCTTACAATGATGCGGCCTTCGATCCTCAGGTCTTTCTGCTCAAAAAGCCATATCTGAATGCGAGCTTTCTGCATAAATTTGAACGTGAAGATTAATTAAGCAGATTAGAGATACAAAACTTCAACTTCACCCATTAAAATTCATAAACGTGCGTACCCGGAACGGAAAATAAACGAAGTGAACATGAAAATGAACTTACACTTTGAAGAAACCTGAAAATCAAGTTCTGAAGGCGCACCAACGTCCATGGAAAGAGAAATAAAACATGTCAGTGAACACGTAAAAAAGAGAGGAAAAAAACAAAGGAAAGCAGCAATGAAATGAAGAAGAAGAAGGTACAATGGGTTGGGTCATAATCCTCTGAACTTTGGTGCTCGCCATGGCGACTGAATCGAAAAGCTTTCCGAACAAAGAGGTTGGTGGTGCAAGGAGATTGAAGGCCGAACTCTCTGCTTTCAGCTTTCAATCGCAAATCGCAGCTCACACCTATGGAACTTCGGAATTGGGATTAGGGCAAAGGGAGTTTAGTTACAGTTTAAAAGTGGAAAAGCGTACGAATTTTTCTCAAAGAAATTTTTTTTTTTTTTTTTTGGGTCATTGGTTCTTTTTTTGTTATTATTTTTTTAAAGAAGGGCACGGCACTACTAAACAAAATAAATAAAGCGTTGATATTGTATTAATGGTTAACATTTTCTTGGAATACTAAATTTTATTTTAGACAAATATACATTTAGAACAAAGGACTATTATTGCTTAATTAAATTAAGAGATTTATTTATTACAACAACTTGTGAAAATAACAACTTGTGCCCTGGTACAATTATCGGTTCTCTTCTATATATAGCACTTGGACTCGACCCTTAATGGTATCAGAGCCAACTCGACTCTTTCTCTCTTTCTTTTCTCTCTCATGGAGTAAACTCCTCTCTGAATCTCGGGGTGGAAGGGAGATGGATCTAAATTCGCTCTAAGGTTGTATTCTTTCTTTTGATTCTTAATCTATCTGCTAATTAAATCTGATTTGGGAATCTCTCTTGTTCTAACTCTTGATATACTCTAGCTATCCATTCTTTAGGTATCATGATAAAGGCGTGGTTAACCTTCATGATTGAGAATTTATAGTTAGAAGATATGAAGATGTTTGAATATAGATCGATTGATCGAAAAATTCGATTTAATTAAAAGATAGATTATTATCAAAATAAAAGGATATGAACTTAGTAAGATCTTATTTCTATCTCCTAGATACCTTCAGATTTCCTTTTCCCCTCTCTCATGCTCTCAAAGTTTCTCTCTAAGATCGCTCCCCATTCTCAACCCATCGTCGACACAGCTTCCTCTTCCTCTTCTTCTTCAAGAAAGCAAAAATCAGAAAATGATTTTTCAAAAATTTTAGCCGATCACAATTCAGCTGAAGCCCATCTGGCTAAGGTCGAAGATCGACTCAAAAATTGGTCTATCCCTAAGATAGATCCAAACCAGGTATACAAAATAAATACCTTCAATTTCTCCCAACAAGACGTCATCGTCATCACCGAGGAGAACGTGGCTATGAAGGATGAATTCACAGAAATCACTCTTCTCCCTGAAGAAACCCTCTTCAAAGTCAGGAACAAATTCAAATACCTCCATATTGGATGTGTTCAAGTAGCCTTGAAACCTCTCTTTAGAGAAGGCTTAGATGTCCCCGTTTATCTCGCTCTTCGGGATAAAAGACATCTCAACTTCACTCCCTCTCTTCTAGGGATCGTCGAATCAAATCTGGTTCAAGGACCAGTTTACTTCAACTGCAAACCAGGACTTACCGTCTCCCTTCAAGACAAGAACATTATGGACATGCTATGTCTAGATGTTCATTCCGAAGGCTTGGAGCTGAAAGACGGATCTCTTCCGTTTGCTGTTTCCTATCGCATCTATTACAAATTGATGCATACCAACCTTTCTCCAAAAGCACTAGGTGTTTCTCCGAAGGGTACACCATGCTAATGGAAGTCAATCTCGAAAAATCTTCAATGACTATTCCGAAGACACTTCGTTGGGATGAAATCTCTAGAAATACCATCTGGAGACTTCAAGGAGTTTCAGCCCCCGCCAGAMRAATYAATACRGAAGCATCAATTACCGAATTTCCAGACGGAAATGTCGAAGTACAATTTAATACTGAGGCAAAATACCCCAGAATTAGAGAAGTTATGAGCAGCCGYCGAAGCGTTTCTTCAGATGCAAGATCGGTGAGCACTATTAATAGATCTTTTAAAAGATCTGAATCCATGCGAGCATCAGTGGATTTCACTCATCCAATCCCTGACGTTCAATACGAAGAAGGATCACTCTCTCCAACCCAATCTGATATGGAAAGGAGAACTGAACCTGCCTTCAATCAAATAAACGTTATCTCAAAAACAGAGGAACGTTATAAAGAATTATACAGCAAGTACATCGACATGTGGATTGCTGCTCCCAAAGAAACTAGGAAACCCGTCATGACCATTGGCGAGTTCACCTCAAAGATACAAAACCAAGAGCTAGTAAAAAACGAAGCTCTAGTTAAAAGACTCCAAGCTGATGGACAAGTAGCGGTCATCAGAAATGGCACTGTTTGGGTAACAGCCAGAGGCAAAGAAATAGCTTCCACCTTCCC